GAGTCATNTAGATTTTCCAGAGGTATCATGAAAATTTCGTGATGTCTATTTTTGACTGAGTCATTTTTTTTTTATTTCATTAGAATAGTTTTTATTTGGACACCAATTTATGTATGCATTGAAATTTTGTTTATACTGGTTGTTTTCACATTTAGTCTACATTTTATAATGATAATAACTACCCAAAAAATGGGTTAAAAGTTGTTATCAACCAGTCATATTTTTAAATCAATTTTCAATTTATAACTTAGTTAAATGTATAATTTGTTATTAGACAATTTTAATTAAACTATCCTAAGGTTTAAGGAATGAATTAAAAACGCAATAATAACTGATNTAAATATATAATTTGTTATAAGACAATTTTAATTAAACTATCCTAAAGTTTAAGGAATGAATTAAAAACGCAATAATAACTGATAAATCAATAGATATATGAAACTGTAAAATACCAAAAATCATTTTTCTTAACATAATTATTATTTCAAGTGAAATCGAGTGGCTAATATAAAAAAANATTTTTCTTAACATAATTATTATTTCAAGTGAAATCGAGTGGCTAATATAAAAAAATTAACTTGTATTTGTGGAGTAACCTTGATTAGAAAATTAAATATTCAGTTATTTTTTGATCTGTAGTAATACACACGAAATGTAATTGGAAAGTTCAAAAGAAATTGTTAATAAAATTGTAAAAGTACAGAAAACGTAAATGTAAGTAAAATTCGAATGATTACTTAAAAAGATGAAAAAATGATTAAATTCACTTGTCTTAGAAAATTTATTTAAAAATATAATAAAAACATAACACACAAAGGAAAAAGTTTTTCAATTGTATTTTTTAATATCGTTTGTTTTCGATCAAGTTCTTTAATATACACATTTTTGTATTTATTGTACTTATAAATAAATTATTTATTGTGATAAAATTTTCTTGGTTAAACAATATTTTATTCATTTTAATAACTTTAAATGTATAATATATTTTAATGAATAATAATGCTAAATGATAAATGAGGATGCTATAATAAAATTTTTAATCGAAGATATTTGCATTAAACATTTTTTGTAGTTTATAAATAATAAAACAGATATGAGTAAAAAATAGTAAATTAATGTCTGTTTATTTCTTTTCTTGATGTAAGAAGAAATTCATATATAAATAGAAATGTATTTTGTGTCATATTACTCACTTAAAAGAAACTTTCATAATTATGCGATAAAAGTTTTTTGTTTTAATTTCTTTGATTACTTTTTTTTAAAAGAATCTTTAAAATATACCTTATAAAATAATTTGTAGAAATAGTATAAATAAATAGTAAACTTAAATAAATATTTTTTCAGTTTAGTGCTTCTAAAGTTAAGCCACCATGATAATAAAACACGATTATAAAAATGATAAATTCTTTTCAATAAAAATAAATAACTTTAAAAATCAAAGATTTAAGAAGCTTATTTGATCATTAAACTTTAAAAATTAATCTTATCTAAGATGCTAATGAAACTGAAAAGATGTTTTGATGACTTTATCCGATTGTTTAAATGGACAAATTATAACCACTTTTAAAAATGCTGTACGATTCATCTATGAGTTAAGATTGAAATCAATATTTCTGACTAATCCTTTCTGTTATAATACATCATGCGAGGTTAACAAAATTTACGAGGGTATCACAAAGATACCTTTTTGCCCTTCCGGTAAATTCCGGTTTGTTCTTCGTAAATAATTCATTGCAGATTACATAACTACTAGATTCTAGTTGAACCATTTTTTCGTACTTTTTTGAGACGTATTATACATGCATATTTTTCTGACTGTATATGTATTATTGTATTATATTTTTTTAAATCAATGAAGTGTAATATAAAATATGGTTTTCTACGTCCCAACATATTGTTTATTATACAACGAAACAGTGATTTGGTAGAAGAAGATAAGAGCTTGCTGAGTGTTACATTTAGATAAAAATAATATGTTTTTATTTTAATAAAATACCTGCTTTAAAGTTATAAAGAAACCCATTGTTTTAATAAAGTCTCAACAGTACATATTTAGATATGATAAAATATATTTTGCATTAAGTTTTAATATTTAAAACAAACTATGGTGATAAATTTTAATATTTATTATTTAAAATACACCAAATGCCAATACATCTCATAAATGAGTTTATGCCCTCAGATAAAATTCATTTGTAAAATGTTTCGTTAAAGTTTTATTTTAGAGAAACAACATAAATTTTTTTTTCCAAAATGTTACAAATTTTGTCCTTAAATTAAAATTACATTTTAATTTTTTACAATTTCATAAGACTATTTTAAGATCTGTTATTAACATGTTTAGATAAAGAGATTGTAAATGTAAATTTACTCATTTTCTCAAATTCAATATGTCTTAGTAAAATTTTTTAAATATATAATAACAAAGACAGGCGTATTTGTTATAACTTATTTGATTTTCACAAATTGCAATTTTTCATGAAGGTTATTTTCTATACTCAATGAAAGTCATAAATGAGATGAGGATCATTTTTGTTCAATTACACGTGTAATTTAGCTTTTATTTCGATTTTCTATTTTGGAATTTTATTTTTNGATGAGGATCATTTTTGTTCAATTACACGTGTAATTTAGCTTTTATTTCGATTTTCTATTTTGGAATTTTCTTTTTCTTTTTATTTTTTAAACTTTTTCGTGAAATACAATTTACAATTATTTTGTTGCTATTAGAATTTTGCTCTACCATTACTTTCTTATCAAATTTTTATTAATTCTCTAATAAAACTTAAAAGTATATGGCCGGTACGTTTAATAATATAATTTTACATAAAAACAAGACATGCCTTGTTTGTAAGTTTTAACTGTCACTCTACACGAGTTTTATATACTTGAAAAGTGAAAAACATCAACNGTTTCAACTGTCACTCTACACGAGTTTTATATACTTGAAAAGTGAAAAACATTTACATATTATTTAATATAATAATTATATTTTTTTAGTAAAATTAAAAGTTATGAGAACTATGAAACATTTAAGTCTTTTACAAAAGAGGGTATTTTAGTAATAGATGGGACAACTATTTCGGTGAAATATTGTCCAGTCAAAATAGGATTTTATATTGCCCTCTTTAATGGAGTCTGTAAGAATTTAAAATATTACTAAGCTTGCGAACCTTTTTTTCTTGAGAAGGTTAAGATAGCTACCAAAATGTACCACTTAAGTAGAAAAAAAGTAACTGTGTACCGAAAAAGCATTATATTAAATAATTTTAATAGTAAAAATATGAAGCTTGAAATATGTTAAATATTTTTAAGATTGATATAATGTCGTACTTTTTCATATATATTTTTTTTAATAGCACAATCAAACTTAAATTTTATAGAATTTTTTATATTTATTGGTTGGTATTTATCATTTGAATTTTGCTAACTGAAGGGTTCATTGTAATAACCAGTTATTTCCAATTTGTTTTTAAAATTCATTTTTTTTTAATGTTCTGTTAGAGTTTATTTAAATTTAATAATATATTTGAAATATTAATTTAAAATTAAAAAACACAAATATATTTAACTTAAAAAACCACAAAAATTATTAAAAAGTCACGTATACGTATTTCGGAAAAAATGTTACTGTCATCAGCACTGAAGTGCACCGCCAATTAATGTTATCACTTAGTGATTTTAACATCTAGTCTGATAGAAAAACATTTTTAAAAAGTTAGGTATAATTACTGAGCTTACTCTTCTACTAAAAATACTAATATTATAAAAATGGAAATGCTTAACATACAGTTTTAAAACATGTACAGTTTAATACTAAAAGTATTTAATGTTTTGGGTCTCCAAAACAATTTTTAAAATTAGACTTAACTAGTAATTATATGAATTTCAAAAACTATAGTTAATGATATATTACGAATGTATTCTTGAAAATATTTTATTTTAAATATACATCTTTTTCCTCTTTAATATCAATATTTGTTACTGATTATAATATTTGAATGAAATCCTTGCTATGTTCAGGATTACATTAGACAAATAATAGTTAAATTTTAAACGCGTCAATGTTACTCAACTTCTATAGATAATGTTGTTTTTATTGTTTTCATTTAAATTACTAAGTAATCATTAAGATAATACTAAAAAAAAAACTTAGTTTACAATTTTTTATAGTTCTAAGAGACTGTAATATGTTAACGTCATGTTGGACTGTTAAATTTAAATGATAATTAAAATTGTCATTAAAAACTCGAGATGGTCTTATTTAAAAGTAAAATTCAGCTTTTAGATAAAGTCCACGAGCATAACATCATTAGTTTTGGTTTGTTCTACTTANCACGAGCATAACATCATTAGTTTTGGTTTGTTCTACTTACAGATTAAAATTTAATTAACATGAATACCTTAATTGTTTTTATACAAACACAATACAATGCTATATAGTAATTAAACTAAAGAAAATTACATTTCAATAAACAAATTATTTAAAATTTATTCCAAATCAACATTAAATTAATCGTTTTTGATAATACTGATTTAAGGAACAAATAACTTATAGGCAAATATTTTATTGTTTAATAGACGTATAACAAAATTAGTTCACAGTTAGGATTATACACTGACTATAGATTGTTTTGAGTGGAATGGAAGGACTAAATTAACATTTTGGACTAAAATGTTTATATTATTTTTTTACTATTCTTGTTATTATAATTAATTTTGTCAATATTTTACCCCATTATTGTTCTATTTCGAGATTGACACTTACGAATGAACTTCTTTTAGTCAAAAAATTTTTGAATTGTGTTAACATATTTATATTTATCATCACCTAAATGTTCAACCGTAATTTAACGTAATGTATCATCGTTGTGTATTGTCAGAAAAAATTGAATAATATTCTGACTAACATCTTGATATTGTAGCTTTGTGCCTATATAGTAAACGTTTGCGTAATAATATAAAAGGTTTTCACATTATTTTTTATCCTATCTTGACAGGTTCAAGTTACTGCCGAGGCACATTTGATGGATGGTTATGCTGGGATGATACAAAAGCTGGAGTGACCGTACACCAACCATGCCCTCAATTCGTTTCTGGATTTGATCCGTTAAGTAAGTGAAACTTAAAAATCGAGATTTAATAAAAATGTTGTAAACACTAAGCATTCAAATAGTTCCTATGCAAATTATGAAATGTGAATTCAGAACTTATTGGATTTTTTGAGATAAGAAATAAACCTAGATTGCTATTATTTGTGATTACAATACAATTTCAAAGTTTGGTTTCACAAACATGTTTTGAACGTTTAACTTGAAATACTGAAATCTAGGTACACTGTCTTTATTTATTTACTTTAAAGTTAAATTAGATACAGCTGTTTACTATACACAAATTAATTATTTAATTAGTTACTAAATGTAACTATTTTATACAAATTTTGTTCTTAATGTTTTTGATAAATTTCAACTGACTATATTCTATAATTTCAAAAGTTGTATTATTTGAAAGAAATCGTTCTTTTATCAATGAATAAATAGTTTGGTAAATTAAATTATAAATTGGAATAGGCCTTTTTTTTTTTTGTGGTTTTATTAATCTTAAGTCAAAGTAAGACTGAACTAGTTAATACTCAACTATTATTTGCTTTATAATTAGCTTCCATTTTTGTCATCGATGAATAATGCCAATAAAAAATAACGCCATTAGTTTAGTATTTTTAAAAAAGTCTAGTTATTTTTTTCTGCCACTAACTAGTAGTATATTCAGTGTAGCTGGTTCAATTTATGAGCTTCCGGCAGTTGTAATAATTTAAATGAAAAGCACTCGATTTTTTTCCATTTGGTAGAGACAACGAGACTTCAACGTTTTGTTTTGGACAGTTAATAAATTGACTGTACACAATAATATTGCGTGTTTAAGGTTTTTATATAAACTTGTAACTACGTATTCAACTATTAATTTATGTTAAACATTTTCTTAATGCCATTACTTTTAGATTTACATTTAAAAAGCCAAAATCAACATAACTGTTCAAATTACTGTTATATTTAGGGTTTTTTTTCGTATATACTAATAAAATTAGGTAAAGATAAAAATTTATTGTATTAATATCATCAAATACAATACGTCACATATACAATACCTGGAATATTCATCATAATACGTATGTTTTTATATTTACTTATTTATTCTAAATTTAAAGGACTTAAACTATTTTACAATATCTAAAAATTAACAATTTGTAAGACTTATTATACAAAGTGATCGATTAAGAATAAGACACTTATTTTCTCAAAAACTACTAAATATTTTCAATTTCTGTAAAAGACATTTTTTATTTGAATAAAAAAAATGTGCAATAATATGTAGCTAAATCATTTTTTTTTTATCCTTTACAAGATAAAAAATTAAACTTTAATTTTCTTTAATAGGAAATCCCATTTTAGTTCGATAATAAAATAGAAAAACAATTTAAACAGTCTTGTTCTTATAATTATTTGTATCCAATCAACCTTTGCTGTTTTAAGCCTGATTAAATTTTTAGATTTAAAATATAAGTTCATCATTAGTTTGGTTTTCATAATATCGAAGGCAACAATAATCTATTACAATATTCCATAAATAATTATCGTATTTATTTTTACTAATGTTAGTGAAAGATATGATATCAAGAATTGTCAATTAAATCTTTTTTTTGTGATATCATAAAAAAATGATGACTACTGTACACTAAACAACAAATTATTCATAGAAAATTGGTCAAAATTGATAAAATTTAACGAGGAGTAACAGAATAAAAATAGTTCATCAAATAAAAAATACTCTATAAACAAAATTTTTTGAAATTTTTTTTCTATCCTATAAATAAACCTAAGTTTTGTTCCTAAATTAATGAAAAATAAATTATGTACTAATTTAACTTAAATATCGTTATAGTAAGAATATAAAAGATCAGAAATTAAATTCGTACAATTTTTTGATAAGAATCTGTGTTGAATACTATTTAAAATTTTTCTATGTAACTTGCATGCAATTGAAAGGATAGATAATTTTTTGCGTTATTCTCGTCATATAATTATTGGATAACATAAAGATGAAACTAAAGATTAATTATCACTGTAAAAGTATATTTAAGAATTTATTGTTGGATTTTGTCCTTAATTTTATTAAATTAATTTAATAGATTTGAAAATAACATTTTTAACTAATCATAGGTTAAATTAGCTGCTTGGTAGAGAATGTCTCTAACAAAGAGTGGACCATTTGTTACAAACAACGTTGAGTACATCACATCATGTGATAGCTAATCTCTAGTGTCTTTGCTTACCTACCCCCTCGCCTACTCAGCACGGCAAACAACGCGTGTACAGTCCACAGTCGTTCCTCAACAAGTACATATTGTGCGTCTTTCGCATACATAAAAAACGCCTCCATTTGTGTGCTATTGTTCAACCATAGTGCGCCATATATTTTATTGTTTTTTGCGCATCTTGTTGTGCCCTGGTTCCCTCGAGCTTTCTTACCTGTAAGCATTCCTTTAGTGGTCAGCCCTATCTGTCACTGAAGTATTTACTTCTCAAGCGACTACCCTTGTGGTCACCAATCCATTCACGTTTCAGCATTTCAACGCAAAGTTACATACGGTATTTAATTGTTTGTTTTGTTTTATTTATTTATATATTTTCTATTTTGTGTCTAAGTCACTTTGCCGGCCATTTTGGTATTAAGGACACCCTCCTATGACCCTTGATTTTAAGTTAATTATTGCAGAAGTTTTAATATATTTCTTATATTAATTTTATACAATTATTGTCTACACGTAATTTATTGGATGTGCGGTTAGCCGGCAAGTACCTAGTGACCCTTGCCACCCGCTCCTATAGCGATCGTAAACAGACTTAAGACAAGACAGCAATCTAGTATGGTGCACAACTAGCCGTCCTATGGTCTAGCTGCCTCGTTTGAAACATTAGTTGAAATTTATATATATTATGAATTTAGTACTAAAAATATCAAAATAAAGGCCAATCTTATGTTTTTCATATTATTTATAGAATATTTATTATTGTATGTCTATCATTTTTATGTCACTCTTCCTTTTTTTTAACCTACATTAAAAGCTATAAAAATGTATTATAAAGAAACCGGGTAGTATATAACAATATTTCCAAGTTTTATGTTGTTTTTTTTTTTTTGTATCTAATAAAATAATAAACTGATGTAAACCTAATGTGGCCGTATAAAAAAATGAGATAGCTTATTCTTTATAAAAATTTGTATTGAATTATCGAAAAAATTTTAAACTTGTCTATTACGAATATGAAACTTAATAAAAGTTTAAATGAGATATCATATTATGATATCTCATTTTATTATTACGAATATATAACAAATTAGCTATACTATAACTTTTTAAAATCAATTTGTTGTTTGAAAGTTAACAAAAAATGTAATTGTTTTTCAAATTTAAATAAACAAAAAAAGTAATGAGAAAAACAGCTAGACAAAAAAAAAATAGGATTTTTTCCCTATTTGAAGTATATACAGAATGTCTCATTGTGATTTACTAATTTAACTATATAGACTAATATTTAAATTATTGAATCACAGTGTGACAGCTTGTATATTGCGTATGATAGTTTAGAAAGTTGATTATAGTAAGTAGACAATAAGACTAGAACACTAAGGAATGTATCCCCATTTACGTTTCCTGTCAAATCAGTTTTTCACTAAAACCCATCGATCCTTTATTATATTTCAGACTTCCACGCAAAAAAATGTTTAGTTGAATAGGATGCACTTAACAAACATACGACAACTAAATATTGTACTTTTTTACTTACTGCACGTCATTCGATTACGAAAATATATGTAGTAGTACATTTATAGTTTAATAGATATTAACAATATTTTAATACATAATTTTTGTAATCTAACGATTAGAAGATAGAAAGTGAATTTATGGTTAAATGTGTAAAAACCGCAAAGTGAGTAATTTTTTATAATTTCTCCTAAAAATAACTTAATCGTTAATTTTATGTTATGTATAGTATCCATAAGTTGAAATGAAAATAAGTACATTAAATACGTTTTCATTTAGTCATGAAAAAATGTATCTTTTGATAAATGAAACAAGTGTATAATTGACATTATTGTTGTGAAAGATTAGTTTTATAAATTAATATTTGGAAATATTTTGCAACTATAACTATAGAGCGGCGCTTGGCATATGCAATATTAATACGTCTGTGTATTGACAACTGCTCACTTTTCTATACATAGATTATAAAAATATTATATAATTTAGTTTTTTTTTTTACTTTGAGTACTAATTTTGTATAATATAAATAATATAATAAAATTAAAATCATAGATTACATTTTACTAGTACATAGTTGCGAACACTGAACCACAATAACTGTATATGCGTTGTCACAAAATATGTTTCCACATATTCTATATTAGAGTGCTTTATTCACACGTTGCATTCATTACACAGTGAATTTCCGCATTTACTTGAGAGAATGTTATTAGATTTAACACGAAAATGTACTTATTAAGTTTATAGTAATTATATGTTTAGCAAATTATTTTGTAAATTAACAAGACTAATTTGATAACTGAACACACATAGGAATTCAAATCGCAATGTATCATTTAACTAATTTTTTTAACAAAATTACATAATTAAGTAACTAGGTCTACTTACTGTTTATTTTTAATAAATTAAAATACTTTTTAGTTATTGTGTTCTAGATGAATTTAAAAGCTTTATATAAATGAATAGCGTTGAAAAACATAGTTTTAATATTTTTAGATATACTAACTACAATTTAAATTAGTTTTTATTTACACTAAAATATATATATTTTAAAGTTTTTAACACTTTCCTAGTTCATTACGTCAATGTTTTTACTGAACACGTTATAGACATAAAACCATAATTTATAGATTACTGGTTTTAATGATTCTTATTTTTATGACATCGGATACGTTTTACGTAGAATTCAACTTGGATAATTGTAACTAAATGAAATTTATTGAATTTGATACTATTCGCCTTTCAAACATTTTAAACGCACTTATATTTTTAAATGATCGAGAGCTTACAAAACTTAAAAAATAATATATTTGAAACGTGGTAAATAAAAACAACACATAAATTATGTATAGGTCGCAAGTTCCTGTGAAATTTAATTAAAACGTTTGAAGTAATTTACAGTTTGATTACTTGTTTATTAAACTGTATCTAAAATAACATACACATCTTTTTATTAAAATAACAACACACTTTCTTGTATAAAATATACAAATAGAAACTTTTTATTTCAATATTATTTCTAATAATAATAATTATCTTAATAAAACAATTATGTTAAATCAGTCGGAATTTATTTATTCGTTTTATGATTTTAAAATCATTATATTTTGTATAACAAAATATATAGTTACATTATAACGAATACAATAATTAAAAATGCAAATTCACATATTTTTCAATGTAGCATAAAATATTGACGAGTTAAATTTAAGATTTGAATAACTAATATGCATTCCTTTTAATTAAAACAGACATGGCAGATGTTAACAGTTTATTCTCAAATATTACTTTTAAAAATCATGTAGTTTTGTCAAAACATCTGTGCCATAATATCATGATCATTTAAATATAATGTATTGTATATTATCATTGTTAGCAAAATGAAATCACATAGTAATTGAGTGACCAAATTGTTTGTACAAAGCTCGCATTTGATGATAATACTTTTCAAGTATATTCAATTGCGCATCAATTGAAACTTATCTTTTAATATAAATTGTATCTGTTTAAAATTAAAAATTTATATGATTTTATATTTCACATTAATAGGGTAACTAGGGGAAAGTTCAGTATTTCTCAAAATCAATCACAAATAGTAGCACATCCTATTGACATAAATGCCTCATGTGGTACACAATAATATTCGGTAGTATAATCACATGGGTACATACGTTAATTTTAATTGTAGTTAAGAATTCATATTTTAATTTATATTTAGCTTATTTTTATGTAATTTTTGAACATAAAAATTAAAGGTATTAGTAAATATTCTTAAAGTACTACTATACATGTTAATTCATAAGAGATCCATATATTTTACAATAGTTTTGGTTACAAAGTTTTACAATCGTTTTCATCATCTTTTCCAAACTATGGGAAAATAACCATTTTCAGAAGATTCATATTTCACCTATTAGATGATAGAAGTAGTTCTCATTCATTTTTCAGATTTCAAATACAGTCACAGAAATCAGGAAAAATAGTTGAAGATTAACCTTGCCATCTTATTCCTATATCCAATTCATTTAACATTATTTGTAAAAGTTACAAAGTCAATTAATTTATGTTTGTAAAACACCATTAATAATATTCTTATCAACATTTTTTTTTTTTTTGAATATTCAAATTTAATAAATTAATAAAGTTGATTAATTTTATTAACCAAGAATAATTCTATTTTAGAATACCTTTTTTTTCAAATTATTTAACTTGTTTTATCTTTTAAATGATAAGAAACTAATTTTATTTTTGTCGTTATGTCACATTAGAGTATATTTAACGAGCAAATTGTAAACAAATTCGAAAAGTATTTTTCTCACTGAACAAATCTTCAAATTTTATATTTTTTTCCGGCGTACAAATATTCTTGTAATCTAGTTCTCTGTACTTTTAAACGTTTTATTTAGTTTAAATAAATTATGGTTGATTCCAAAAATATAACATTTTAACTGTACTAGCGTTTTTTATTATATTAATTCAACAAATTTAATAGTGTAAATAAAATAGTAATAATAACTCTTCATCATATTAATACTAGCTTTGTAGATTTATACCGAACATAAAACAATTTACGTTTATAAAACGAATCATTATTTTCTTATTAGCTTAAATAATCTATTGCAAACATTTTTTTATTTTAAAATTAATGTTTTGTTACAATTCCACTTTCTTTTTGCAAGGTAAAAGTCTAGTTATAAAAAAAGTTATTATGATATTACAATTTTCTTCATATTAAAATTTACAGTGAAAATTATACATTTCTGACCACATATCAAGCTAAACAAAGCTAATTTTAAATCGTTATAGTTTTCTATTTAATTAAGTTAATTTTAATTTGCACGTTGAGCTAAGTTTAGTTTATTTAATTTTCAAAAATATTTCCAAAAACGAAAATGTAGTCCTTCTAATTTGCTACTACAGATGTTTTAATCGTATTTTCCAAGTATCCCTAGTGATGAATTGCGGCAAAGTGTACTAAATTGTAAGTGCTATATATAGCATTCATTTTGCGCAGTAAACGTGTATGAACTTGGTTTTCTGTGCCATTATTAAAATTCCTAACACCGACTTAATATCCTTACTCGTTTTCCATAATAAATCCATTAGAACCATACATCAAGGTAAATTTTCCAAAAAAATGATCCCTGTTCATTGTTTTTGGATACACATAAAGTAAACCATTAATAGTTAGAGAATTGAAGATTCTCGACATTTATACTGTCCTCAGCTCTTCCGTGACGGTGTTGTGGCTCGTAGAATTATTACTCAAGTCTTTGAATAACATTCTACTTCACTCTTAGATTTTGTTACACCTTTCCAACCTCCATAGTTTTCCACTTCACATACTATGTAACTCTTTCGGCTGGATTGTCTGCAACTTTTCTCATTTATGTTCGGCTAAGTTTTGCGTTCAAAGAATTTTTGTTCTAATAACTTAAACGTTTACAATGTTAAACTTATTTATTATAAGACACGTCTTGAACTTTTTATTAGTTTTACTCAACGCGTAATTTAATAAATCGGTACATGATTATTTCAAATTTCTCAACAGTTGTATTTTATTTATTTTACATTCCATTTCTTACTTGTTAGTAGTCTTTAAATTTGCTGTCTCCCCAGTACGCAAAAAATATTTCTGGCTTTAAATCTACCATAAAATACATTTCGTTCGAATGATGTTTTTATCAGTTTTTTTCCATTTGATTAATGTATAGCTGTTATACAACATATTATCATTCTTTAATTTATTTTATTCGTAATACTTTTAGTGCGTCGTACAATTATTAAAGAAATTCAAAATGAAACTGGAAACATTTCTTTAACATCCGATAAATGAATTTACGGCCGCTTATAATCCAAAAATAAATCAAAATTAAAGAATGAATTACTTAGATTAAATATCTAATAATATGTTAAGAGTTTGGTTCTTAATGCATTCATAAAGTTTATTTTAGTCATCACGAGCACATCAATAATAAATAAATATTCCTCATGGTTTTTCTTAATCCTAATTAAAATATATATTAATTTGCATTTAATTTTGGGACTGTGTGAGGAGATCACTCCTCCTAGAACATAAAATCTTCCTGTGATACTGTTAGATACTTATAATACATTTTCAGAGAGTTGAATGTTTCGGGAGTGCTCAAATAAATTTTATAAATATATAAAATCCCGAATCCTAGTTATGATGCACAAAGAATAAAAATAATTCGAAAAAATATATTGGGTATTACACAAACAACTAATCAATTTTCATAGTCATCATTATAAAATTTATCGATTCTTTTAAATTTTTTTAAAAACGACGTTTAGTTTATCTTGAAAAATTAATCTATCAATAATCTTCGTGTTTGTCGAGCATATATTTTTGCTCTTTATTTCAAATAAAGGTAAAGTAGAACCGTTTTACATTTATTTTAATAGTTTTTTATGTTAACAATACAATGTGATTTATATCATATAATATTTTAAAAGTATTTTTGTTTTTGTAGGAACGGCTTACAAAATTTGTAACAAGGATGCGACTTGGTTTCGACATCCAGAGTCTGGCGCTGTTTGGTCAAATTATACAACATGTATAGACCACGATGATGTTAATGTGAGTTACTTATTAAACAACAAAAATAATTAAAAAAGTGAGATTTTAAATCTAGACGAGTACATAGCAAAATTTATTTTCATAAGGTGTTATATTATTTTCAGAACTTGAAATTGAATTTTTACTTTTCGATTTTCATTCTGCTCATTGATATAAAAACTTTGATATCAACATTTATAGTTAAATTAATATAAAAGTGTTGTTATATAATATTAACACTTTTTATTTATTTCGATTTTGTATAAATGTTAAAAATTGATTAACCACCTGTTTGATTTCAGTTTAAATATAATTTATATTTATTATTAAATTTTAAGTAAACATAATTGAAACTAAATAGAACAGCTATAAATAATATGCTGAAAAAAAACTATTTCTATTCAGTTTGAATTTTTTTAATTTAAAAATAAATATCTTTAAAAGGTATTTATAACAATGATTATCCAAATAAATGCATAATTGCATTAAATATAGAAAGATCAAATCGTTAATTTTTCTACCGACTCTTTATGAAATATAGAGGGTGATTCATTAAGGATAAGACACTCATTTTCTCGGTAACTATTGAAAATTTTTCATTTTTGGGAAGGAAAATATTATTTGATTTAAAGAACTCTACAATAATAAGTAGTAAAAATATTTTTTTTTCATCCCTTCAAGATTACAAAAAAGTAACTTGATTTTTCTTAAATAGGAACCCCTATTTTAAATTTGTTATTATGATTTAAAATAAAAATATAAACAACTTTGCTCTTATAATTTTTTTCCCCCCATTAACCGTTCGTCTGTTACAGCTTATTAAAGTTAAATGATTTTGGACTAAATTTCTATTATTATTTTACTGTTTGAAAAATCAAGTTAGTGTTTTTTGACCTTGACGGGATGAAAAAAAATATTTTTTTACTACATATTATTGTAGAGTTTTTCGAATCAAACAATATTTTCCTTACCAAAAATTTAAAATGTTCAATAGTTACCGAGAAAATGAGTGTCTTATCCTTAATGAATCACCTATATAGAATAATCCACGATGTTTTGACAAATCAAATAATCAGAGCTGTGAATTATATGCATTTTTAAATTTTGTTTGAACCACTTTGAGAAGTCCTAAGTTTATAAAACTTTTTCGCAGCATTATACAGTAACGTATAAATATTTTACCTTTTAGGGGTGATTAACTCCCTAATCATCCCCAAAACTGTAACTTAGGTAAAAACACATTACTAAGTTTTAAAGCTGATGATGTGTTTAGAATAACTTAATAATTTTTATAAATACATATTATTCACAGCCCTGCTAATAACCATTGGTCAACAAAATATTTTGCGTTACTTTTTGTCTATCAATTTATGCACTCTTAGAATACGTAAAAATTATATTTTTTTATTTGTTTTTAGTAACATTAAAGAAAAATTGAATTCTAAAATATTGAAGTTTTTAGAGATTTTCTTACAATAAACTATAATTTATCGATAACAATTTTAGGATTAGTACTTACTATGTTACAAGAACTTTAATACTTTGAAAAGTATTTCAGTGAACAGTTATCCAAATCTGGTAAGACACTCATTTTCTTAATAACTATTGAAAATTTTGAATTTTTGTAAAGAAAAAAATGAATTCATTGAATAACAAACATTTTAAAAACAAAATTGTTTGTTATTTAATGTATATGTTTTTTAATAAAAAGTTAAAAATAGGAGATCCCAATTTAGAAAAATAGTTTAAGGTTTTTAAACATGAAAAGATGAAAACAAATAATTTAATAATATAATGATTTAGAGTTTTTGAACCTAATTGTTTTTTCTTTACAAAAGTAAAAAATACTTAAAATTTTCAAAAAATGGATAAGTCTTATCAGATTTTGATTACCTTGTATACACCAGTATGAACTATACCTAACACATATTGTATTAAATATACTCAATATATTAAAATATATGTAACTCAATAAGTACTCGATCGTAAAATTTTTTATTGACTCATTAAAAATTTTTTGTGTGTAAAACTCTAAAAACTTTAAAATTAAATTAATTTTTTATTATTATCAAAAATACATAAAAATAATTTGATTTTTATGTAGTATAAGAATGCATAAATTATTTAAAAAAAAATAATCCAAAATATTCAGTAGATTAAAAGCTATTATATCTGTTTGAAGATTGTGAACCACTCTGAATGTAATCTTTAATTACTGAACTATTATAAAATGAGGTATGTTCAGAAAATATCGGTGAACATAACACTCATGTTTGATCGCACTTGTCAAGCCTTTTTCAGTTTTGGTAATCTAGAATGCCTCTACAGGGACGATTGACTCTTAGTTTCAACGTTGTTTCATATAACCATGTTTCGTCACCTGTTATAACACGTTTCAGTAATTCTGTATCATCGTTGACTTCATAAAATTCATAAACATTTCTTTCACGTTTTCATCGGTTGTTGATGTTCTGGGGCGTTCGTCATCTTCATTTTCACGGCCATCAGGGAAACACTTATACAACTCGTAAATATTTGTTTTACTCATTGCAGACTCGCTTTCATGTTTTACGCAAAATTTGATACAAATCTTTTGATCCATTTTTTTTAACGAAAGAAAATTGCCGAGCTCATAAAAACACGTCTAATCTTAGCGGCTACCATTGACAAAGTAAAAAATTAATCCAGGTAAAAATTTTATTATACTTCAGGGACATGTGTACCAACAATACGAAAAAAAATTTTAATAATCAGACTCTCCAAACCCATGAAATTTTATAATTCCCGTTATTTTCTGAACACACCTCGTACCCTATAAGATATATGGGGTGAAACTAAAAAATATTTAACCACTTATAAATGAATTAAGTAAAATTAAAACTATATTAAAAATATTATTAATATAGTTTTAATTTTACTTAATTAATTAGCCACAAGTAATCAATTTTTATTATACACTTATAAATGATAAAATAAATAATAAACAAAATCGTAACATTTTATTTTTAATTGCTATTATTTCAAAAGAAAAGAAATTTAGTAGACGACGACAAATTAATTACTCTGTATAGCAAAATAACTAAAATTAAGTTCTAAAATACTGTAAAATAATTGTTATTTAAAAATGGTTTACTGAAAAATCGTTGATTTTGCGTTAGAACTTCTTCATTCTCAGGCGACGGATTTATTGATTTCGAAGAAATAACTTATTGTCAATTGGTATACATATGTCATTTTATCTACATAAACTCGTCTACAAAAACAATTAATCATGTTTGGGGCCGTATGGTATTACATTTAAGTATATTTGTGTTCAATCCATTATTTTGGTGACCAATTTAACTCTACGTAGTTCAATTTCTATAAACTAAAATAAAATCAATTAATTCATGGAGAATTCAATTCAGATTATAGAAACTGACACTTTATTGTTATTATTTATAATAAATTTAAGCTCTGATTATTTTTTTTTTTATTTAAAAATTTGAAAAATAAATAATTTATGTTTTATGAATGAATATCTTTAATCAGAATAAAGAAAACCATTTATTCTATTACACTATGTTAATTATACGCAGAGATANAATTTATGTTTTATGAATGAATATCTTTAATCAGAATAAAGAAAACCATTTATTCTATTACACAATGTTAATTATACGCAGAGATGCTAATGGTTTAACAATTATATACTGATTTATAAAAAGAAAACCTTTAATGTTTATTAATCATATCTCTTTTTCCATAGAAATAGTATTTAAAAAAAAATTATCTTAAAATTATCTTAAACGCTATATGTTTAACTAAACATGCCTTCCAATAATAGAATAAAGTTAACATCATAATTAATATCTAAGTAGCTAGCATATGCAATTAAAAGTTCTAATTAATGTATTTTTAACAAAGAAAATAATAGCTAAAATAATGTTAGGTAGTGGCAATGACGTTGATGAGTACTATTNATAATGTTAGGTAGTGGTAATGACGTTGATGAGTACGATTTCAAAGTATTAAATGAAGATTGGTGTAGATCATGTACTTAATTTTCTTAATTCTTTTATGCACTCAAATATATAACCGTTTTTATCGTCTTATGTCTCTATAAATTTTGTTCTCATTCTATAAGAACAATGAAGACAAAAAGCACAACGGATGAAGTGATAAAAAACAATACCTAAAAGGATAAAGCCATAACGCATTAAATCATAATATTATAAAAGAGATGGGAGGAACAAATTATTAATTAGGGTCAAAATTAATGTCTCTTTTATATACCCGTATGAATAATATAAATAACACTTGTATTATTCATATTTGTCAAATATGAAACAAAAACTTTGTGGATATTAATATAAAATTAAATCCTCTTTGTGTTTTTTAAACATAACAACTCAAATATCATATTTTCCATATTTTATAAATTTCTTGTTAAATAATAAATTTTAAATATGGTTATTGATCAGTCAAGCATTTCTTCAGACAATTTTTTATTTATGTATTTTAAGATTGTTAAATTATCTATAATCACTGGTCTTTAGTATAATTTTTTCATAAGCATCATTTAGAGGGTGTCCAATTTTCAGAGAAAATCAGGGATAGTTGATCCATAGTCTTACTGAGTCATACTTTAAGCAAGTCCATTCATCGTTATAAGTCGGTTAATAATAATCTAAGAAATATATTGGAAATATAATATTGAATATTTTATATTTTACTATTAAAATATAGTAGAAATCTATATTAACCATTTCTCAGTTATCAGTCATCATAATTAAATAGTATACAGATTCTTACTTCATTGTTAAAGATGAAGTAAGAAACATTGTAACTCAAACAATTCTGGCTTTAAAATGAAAGAATAACACTGATTATTTTATGAATTTTTAATATAATATCCTAAAACTGTTGATGTGTAACTTGAAACCTACAATTTTTCATTTAAAGAAACAATTTTGAAAGTTTCATTGCCTTATAGACATTTTACTTTTCTTATACAATAATTATATACATAATTTGTTTTA